GCCGTCGGACAGCTTCCGGAGGTATTTCCGGACGGTCACCGTCTTCTCGCTGCACGGACATGTGAACCGCAGGTGCCAGTACTTGCGCGCGCCGTCCGTGAAGGTCGGCTCCAGCGTCTCGTCGAGGTCCACGGGCCGCGGCATGCACGACGACGAGCGCGTCCCCGCGAGGCAGGCCATCGCGCCGACGAGCATCGACATTTTCATGATCTTCGGGGCGTGGCGCTCCACCGCCGCGCCGACCCGCCGCACCAATGATGCGCGCTCGCGGCCGCTGATGCGCGCCATGGAGGCCGCGCGACAGAAGATGTGGCGCCCTTTGTGCATGCGCTGCGCGCGCCGCCCCAGCAGCCCAGAAGGACCTCCAGAGATGCTCTCCGCCGAGTGCATCGTGGCTGCTTTGTGCAGTTATCAACGAAACTTCGAGCCCTTGGTTCTCCTTGGTTCACGAGGGCTCAGCGCAGGCAGTACCCGAAACCCGGAGAGCTCGCGGCAGGAAAGCAGTCGGCGAAGGGCCGGTGGTGATTCGTGCGAACCTCCAAGATATCCGACACGCGCGCGCGAAACGCGCCCGACGGGCCGCGCGACCGCGGCGCGACGTGCGAGTTCGGCGGTACTTTAAGGCGCCGGCCGCGTTCTTATACTCACCGGGGGACCCCCGCGTACCAACCGCGCGACGGGCGGCGTCAGCGACGTGCCTTAAGGTCTAAGCGGCGGGGAGGGCCCTGGCTGAGCTGATTTTGGATGGGCGTACAGGAGCACGGCGACAAGGGAGCACGATCGCCAAAAATTTATTGCCACAGCGGCACGAAGTACTCATCGAGTTGCATACAAACTGCGAGTGCGCCGCACCGTACGCGGGCCCGCGAACCCCTCGCTTGACTCGGCGCCTTCTGGCCGTCGGCGCGCAGCGCCGTGCACCGCGACTCGCCCCCTTCAACAGTTGAAGGACGCGAGAGCGTTCAAATCGCGCAAATATTTAAATCGATCGACAACGGACGCAAACCCGACCTCGCGAGTCACCCGGGGGCCCTCGCCCGCCTCCCGCACCGTGTCGCGGTCGCCCACCGACCGTACGACGACCCGCGAACCGCCCCGCCCCGAGAGGCCCTCCCCCGCGGCGCGCGCGCGCGCGATTCCGCGTCGCTTCCGCCGACCGCCGCGGCCCCGGCGCGGACGCGAACACAAACACCGGACCGCAGGCGCCGGCGCCATGTCCCACGGCCTGGACCCCACGTTCTACGAGCACGACGAGGACGACGACGCGCCCTTCGAGTCCTACATGGAGCAGCTCGCGATCCGCCAGGAGGCGGCCAAGTACCACGGCGACCCGGCCGTCGTCCGCGAGCTCGGCACGGACGCCATGGCGGCGGGGAACATCATGAACGAGACGCCGCCGGGGCTGCCGCTGCCCCCCGGGGAGCTGCGCGCCGTCGCCGTCGTGCCGCGGCGCAACCGGACGCTCGCGCAGATGGGCTTCGGCGGCGCCGCGCTCGGCTACAGCGAGCCGTTCGTGGGCCTGCCGGAGAAGGTGCTGCGGCCGGGCGCGGCCATGGCCCACACGGCCCTCGTCGCGTCCGGCGGCGACGCGGCGGAGTGGACGGACCTCGAAAGGGCGGGCAAGCGCTACCGCGAGCCCTACGCGGGCGCGCGCGTCGACCAGCTCCGGCGCTGGGTCGACAACCCCGGAAGCGCCGCGCCCGCGGCCCCGGCGGCGCTCGACGACGACGCCGTCACGCGCGCGGTCTTCGTCGTCTTCGAGCGCGACTCCGAGGTCCGCTTCGCCGCCGCCGCGGGCACGCTCACGAAGCGCCAGCTCAAGCCCCGCGTCGCCAACGAGCTCGGCCTCGGCCGCCGGCTCGCGCCCATGGAGCCCTTCGCCGTCGCCTTCGAGCACGCCATGATCCACGCCGCGCGCGCCCTGCGCCGCAACCACGAGGACAACTACGACTCGCTCAACGAGGAGGTCATCGGCGGCGGCGAGGACGAGCTCGTCGTCGACCCCTACGACCAGACCGAGGACGTCGTCTTCGAGCACCTCCTCTCGGGCCACAACCCCTTCTCCAACGACGTCGCGCGCGACTAGGCCCGCCCCCCGCCCCCCCCAAGCCCGGGCCGGTGACGCGGTTCTTACAACCCTTCGTCAGGCGGACTCGAAGGAGTCCTCGCTCGCGGCGTCGAAGGGCGACGCCGGCCGCTCGGCGAGCCGCGCGCGCCGCGGGGGCGCGGAGCCGCCGCGCGTCGACGACGGCCGCGACGCCAGGGACCCCGCGACGGACGCGGCGTCGAAGGCGATGGACCCCTCGACGGAGTCGACGGCGGACGGCGCGAGGCTCGGCTGCCGGCGGAACATCGACCGCTCGTCGTCCGTGTCCGAGTCTTCGTAGTCCGCGCCGCCCCGCTCGCCGGCGGCGAGCTCCGCCGACGGCACGAGGCCCGCCTTGTCGTCGTCGTCGGAGGCGCCGTCGTCGTCGTCGTCGTCGAGGTCGTCGTCGCTGTCGTAGAGGAGGAGCAGCGCCTGCTGGAGCTGCGAGACGCCCGTCGCGCCCTGGACCTCGAGATCCTCGAGATCCGCGCCCTCCCTCTTCGGCCGCAGGGACGCCACGAGGCCCTTGCCCGCCGCCCCCGTCGTCCGGAGCGCCGACGGGCCGAGGGCGAGCACGAGGATGGCGGCGCCGAAGGCGACGACGTACAGGAGCCAGACCGCCGGGAACGTCCGGAGCCCCGCCAAGCCCAGACACAGATCCACGACGCCCATGCCGAACATGATGATGAAGTTCATGCCCTCCTCGATGACGATCTCCTCGACCTCGCCCGGCAGATAGGCCAGCGCGTAGGCGCCGAAGAGGACGACCGCGTAGAGCACGGGCGGCCTGAAGTCGAGGTCGTCGCGCAGCCGGAAGAGGAAGTCGTCGGTCCAGAGCCGCGCGTGGCCGCTCCGGTGGAGCTCGTTGACGCGCGCGTGGTCCGCGGACCGCGCGTCGTTCTTGTACGCGTCCTGGAACTCCGCTGCGGCGACGCGCGCGCGCGCGTCCGCGTCGCGGCGCCACCGCGCGGTCTCGATTGACCGCGGCAGCGCCCCCAGGCGGTCCTGGCGCACCAGCGGCCGCTCGAGCGTCTTCGTCAGCTCCTCGCCGTGTTCCGCGAGCAGCGACGACCGCTGGCGCCGGAGCCGCTTCGGGATGGGGCACCGCGCGGTTTTGAACGTCGTCACGATGTGCTTCTGGTCCACGAGGTCGGCGGGGTAGACCGGCAGGGGCGTCCGGTAGGGCACGGGGATGGCGCAGGGGTCGCTGAAGTGGGACATCTTCGGAATCAGGACCTTGGGGAGGATGAAGTTGAGGAAGAGGATCCGCGACGGCTCGACGACGAAGACGATGAGCCCGATGGCCAGCATCGCGACCTTCCACCACTGCCACGTCTCCTTGACGCCCATGAGCCGCCCGTAGAAGAGCATGAAGTAGATGGGGCCAACGAACAAGACTAAGCCCGCGAGGAGCCCCAGCACCTTGGCGTCGAGCGACACGGGCCGCGCCGGAAGGTCCAGCTCTCGCTCGAGGTCCATGTCCATGGACCGCTTGTAGACGTGGCGCTCAAGCTGGTGGTCGAGGTGCTGCGCTAGCAGCAACTGGTAGATCGCCGTCGACCGCCGCAAGGCGTTGCCGTGGTTCACGTAGCGCGCCTCGTAGCGGCGGGCCAAGCGTAACGACACGATGAGCTGACTCGTGACCTTCTCGGGGAAGTTCGATCGGTCGCAGTGCCAGTCGTGGTCCAGCTTGTCGCTGAGGAACTCCAGAGCTTGCTTGCGGTCCGCTTGAGAGGCGTCGCACGCCTCCAAAGCGTCGGCGAGCTCGCGCTTCCGGTCCAGAATGAGGCGCATCGTGGGGACGCAGGCGCACCGCGCGTACCAATCCGTGAGACCGTGCTCGTCGCCGACCTCGCGCAAGAGCGGCGCGCTCAGAAGTTCGAGCGTGTCCGTGCCCGCGACAGATTGACCGTCTTCGTCGAGCTGGCCGAGGTTGACTAATAATCGCGTGCCGACGCTGACGACGGGCCGCGCGCGGCCGTCGGCGGCGCCCTCGGCCTCGGATCGCGTCGCCGCGGCCCCCAAAGCATGGAGCGCGCTCTCGCCCGCCTTTCTAGCTTCCGCGCTCCAGAAGCGATCCTCCTTGCGCACCGGCGCCATGATGTACCGGTTTAAGATGTATTGGAAGAGCAGGATGGCGGGAATCGCGATCAACACGCACGAGAAGGCCTCCCAGGAGTTGGCCAAAGCTTCTTCTGTGTAGCTTAACTCCCGAAACCGGCAGTCGTCGCAGGGCTCGCGCTCGCAGGTCTCCTTCGGGTCCCAGACGCACAGGCCCCGCTGCTTGAAGAGGCCCATGGGCGAGTCGACGTTCTCGCACGAGCCCTCGTTCTTCGTCGATTCGCAGACGCCGTAGGGGTTCGTGTACCAGGCCGCGACGGCTTCCGCCCAGAAGACGAGCACGAGCGACACGTACGCCAGGATCGCGCGGTGCCACCGCGGCGCGTGGCGCCGGTAGACGAAGAAGATGTTGAAGAGCGTGTGGTCCGTTTTCAGCAACTTCCACGACAGCTTGAGCAACGGAACTGCTCTCC